TGGATGTGATCGAAAAAATTACAATATATACCATACGTCAGTCTCTAGCTCTCTTCAATGACTTAATGTACTCCAGCTGCAGTTTCCTCTTTCCCCTTGCACAATTGCTTGCTCTTTTTCCACGCTCTCTTCCTCTGCTCATCTTCTTCTTCTACTTTCCTCCCTCAATCTGTCATCTCCTGCACTACTGTCTGCATTCTTGCTTTCATCCACCCCAGTCTTTGTTTTCAACCTCCAGTCCTTTCTTTCCCCTTTTATGCTTTCTTCTTTAAAAAAAAAAAAAAAAAAAAATCAACTTTCCTTTTTCTGCAGTCAAGCTGTCGAATTGGCTAATGTGTTTAATACCCTTCTTCACTGACACAACTGCCCAGTGCAACTCTCAGCCTAAAATCAGAATAACCAACAGTATTCTGCACGCCTAGCATAGGTGAATACAAAATCCAGCTGCTGGGGTAAATCCTAGCAAGTCACCTCCATACTACGTATTTTTTTGTAAAAAGAACAAAAAACTTAAATTATGATATACCTTTGTAAATCACTTCTGTACTTGAACACCTGTAAGCAACTTCTGGTTTATCATTGGAAACTTTTACTTACTGAACTAAATTGGCAGTAGTGAGACCCTCTGGAGGTCTCCAGAGCTAATTCAGACTGCTTCCTACTTCACTCCTTTCTCACCCCCCATCTTCCTCACACAAAAAAGGAGATTTTTCAGACTTGGAGGTCTCAACTGCAGTGACTCCACACTGCTGATGAGGAGGTATTTTACAGCAGGTTTCAAAACAAAAAAATGCAACTTGGAATAAGATCTATACATCAAGACAGGACAGCCAGCAAAGATGACAAGCATGCCTACACATCAGCTGCAGCTGCTGTGCACGGGCAGAGCTTTAAAACTCTGCAATGTCTTCTCCTCTGGGGGCCACACAATCCATAGACAACGGTAACAAAGGGCTCCAGGTTCAATTCAATTCACAGCATTTGGTCCTGAATGCAAGGTTCTTTTTTGCTTTGGCACTATACCCACTTATCTTTGAAGTTACCTCCTCTGAGCATGCAGAGAATGCCTCTTCCTGCCTAGGAGTATCATACTGCTCACACAAACAGCTACATGAATTTCTTAGGCTAGGTAATTTTAGTAACAGCTCTAAGCACATACTAGACCAAGGATCACATAACTTGACGGTACTTTTTGCATCACTATGTTTATGGTTGTTAAGACATTTATTTTCAATAGATGAAACTGAATTACTGGGGTTTGGGGACATCTCACTGTAAAAATCTATGCAAGAGACTTAACACAATACGAATTTTTAACAATGCCTTTTCAGGGCTTCACTTGGTTGTATGGGACAGGAACAAATCAAATATGTCAAACCTCTTCTATTCCACTGATATCACTGCTGCATTTAGTAAACATATGACAGGAAACAGGCTGTGTCTAAAATTGCTGTGGCATTTCCAAAGGAGCCAAATTTATCCCATGTGACTTCAATGGAGTCAATGCAGTTGCATGAGGAACGAGCGTGGCCCACAGTTTTCACTTTGGTCACATACCTCCTCTCATTGTGAAGGACACCCAGGAACAAAGATAAAAATAACCTAATACAAATCAGGGAAACAGTCATATGTCAGTGAATAAGGAAGCAATAATTGTGATCGGTGACTCATTCTAGGGCACCAGGTGCAGGGGATCCCCTACATATTAACATATGGGGTCAGCCACGTGACCTCTCCCTGCAGATTCGTGCTATGCATAAGGATGAGCCTTTCATGTCCATTAACACTGGATTAAATACACAACTGCATAGCAATGAAGCCAACAGTTTCTCCTGTGCAATACTCAGTCTTGTCTCACATGAGTAACACTGACTTTAAAAAAAACCATGAAATATAGTTTGCCCTTTTGCTGCACTTCCCTTTCAAGAAGTGTGTGTGTGCATAATACTTCTTAATATAGACCTAAAACACAGGCAGGGGACTAAAGAGCAGAGAACAGCTCCTATTTGTGGCAATGATCAGCCTTCATTTCAGTGTAATTATTTTTCAGGCTGTCCATTTTGACCTTGATAGCCACCCATATGCAGCTGTGTTACTGAATCTGTTTCTCTTTATGCACACTTTAGGTGGGTGACAGCACCATGGAGGATTAACAAGCAAGGTATGTGTTTATTACTTGAAGCCATGCACTTGTAAAGACAACCTTGTTGAAATACAGACACAGAATTTGCTTCCTTCGCTTGTAAGAAAACTTCTCCCACAGACAGGCTCAGTAGGTAAAACAACATGTAGGTATTTTAAAAACTTCCAATTCCATATGAGCTTTTAAATCAAGAAAACCAAGTTCCTGTATTTTGACCTTTCCTCATCCCTTCTCTACACCATTTTCTAGCCATAAAAGGTATACGTTTTAACTTACACTGCCTTCCTTTTTTTTTTTTAAGATCCTTTCTTATCGCCTGTCTGGTAATGTATGTTCAAACAACTAATGTCAGTGTGACAGCTCAACTGAGCCTTCTGACCTATTGCCTGCTCCCTCAGCAACATCCCTCACTCATTCCAAAGGGAAGAATAATTTTTTTTCCCTTCCCGAGAGATCTCACCATCTCTCCTCACCCGTGGTGGCCTTGCATCTGTGATGCCCAACAAGCTAATATTGCCTGTTAGGGAAGCACTTCAAAGCCCCAGGTCCTTGCCCCCTGAGTCACGCAAGTGAAACGTTTGCAGCACCACAGCAGTGCAGGTGCTAGCATGTGGGCACTTAAATCTAGTGCAGTACACAGAAATGGACTTATTGTACATATACACAAGTAACAACTCATGCTGTTCTAGTACTTCTGACAGCCCCAAGAAACACAGCAGCCAAGAAGAAAAAAGATGTTGCTGTAGCAGGTCACACACAGCCCAAAGACCACAGGTTGCGCACACCCTGCATTAAAAAAAATGACATAACAAGTTGTGATGAAGTCATCCGCAGGAAATACTGTTCTCTGTGCAGTGTCTGTCGCATAAGCTAGTACTAGCATAAACCCATTAGTCATTCATCTACCATGCCTTGCCTAGAAAGAGGATAAACAGCCTAATGCACCCCAGCTGGTACTGGGCTGGGAGAATGAATGTGTCTTCAGCCAAGTCACTTGAGAATTCCTGCGATTGTCTTGCTTTTACTGCACTTAGGGCAGACAGCGACCAGCAAAGAGCTAAGCAGAATACATTTGGCAAGCACTTTAACTGCTTAGACAGATGAAAACAGGTACAGCATAAAGTCAAACAAAGCTGAAAAATTATAGTCACTATGAAAGTCAGTTCCTGGTGTGTGTTTTGTTCACAATAAAGTTAAGATCAACTATAGCTCAAATCATCATAACAAAATCTGAAGTTCAATTTTAGGAGAAGTGTCATCACATGGAATCCACTTAAAGGTATTAAAATATCCATGTGTAATCTGGTTTCTTTTGAAAGTCTCTTTTTAAATACCAACACTGGCACTGGAAGCACATGTATTCTGCTCACACAGCACCATCTGACTCTACAGCCCAACATGGAGGGACTAAAAAAGAATAGTCTGAAAGACACTTCTGTTTCATTTTAAGGTTTTTACATTTTAGCCACATCTAAAAGACAAATTTGTGGACAACAAAGTGTCTCTGATTCAGTCAGCATCATCAAGTAATTTGGGCAGCAGATATCTAAGCAATGGTTTTCCTTTATGTTGCATGTACAAGTAGATAGGAATTTCTTTTATTGTGTCTCCCCTGCCCCCCCACCGGAGCTCTGTTTCAAAAAAAAAAAAAAAAAAAAAAAGAAAAAGAGATGACAAGGAGAGGCCTTCTGTGAAAGATATGATCACAATATAAATTCATAAAACTTTTAGGGGCAAGTGCAGCTTTAGGAGCAAAGTTTGAGATGCAGCTAGCATCATCATCATCATCTTGAAACCCAATTTTTCACATTGCGATAGCACCTACAGAATCCACCTTGCTATGAGATAAGTAAGCATGTACCAAAGCCAGCCTCTTGCCACAGAGGGTTCGTGCAGGACGTTTTTATACCACAACTACTTATTGGGAGTTTCAAGACAACTGACAACCTGTGCTTCCATCTGACATTAAAAAGGGGGGAAATAAAATAAAACACTCACTTAAGAGACAAAGTTATATACATGCTTTATTTTGATCCTCACAGCAGTCCTCTGCCTTTGCACCTGTATTTTATAACACATTGTCCTACATGTATAAAAAAAAATTAGTCCTTACTCTGTTTTGTCTGTTGAGAAATACACTACTAAAATTCCCTATAGCTGTGATGTATTAGCTTTTAATTACACACCATAAAGAATTTTTACTTGGAATGGAAATACTTCAACAAGATTTCTTTTCCTCCCTTCCAGAATAAGGTACTGGTAAATCAGATTATCTGCCCGGGTCAGTAACAGCCAGCAGTAATATCTAGATCTCCTGGCTGAAAGGTCTGTGACTCTAGCCATATCACCAGGCTTCCACACGTGCCTGAACAAATAATGTGTGGCGGGGTGGGGGTGGGAGGGAAATCAGCCATGGCCTTTTTCACAGACTGTGGAGGATAGAGAGATTAGGATCTAAAGCAATGATCTGGGTAAAACCCACATATCCACAATCTCCACTTTACATTTCCTCACCACTGCTAAGAAGCAGGTGCTCGGTAGCCTTCAGGAGGAAAAGCACAATATAGCACAAACCTAAACTTCAAAACTAAAATTTTAGAAATCCTGTTTTAAAGTCAAAACGCTGAAAAGGCAATCTGTTTATTTCCAGCTTTTTAGAACTTTAAAACAATCTCCATTTGCACTCATCAAAACACTTCTGCATTTCTAACTATTCACTTTCCTGCTTTCCCAGCTCCACAAAGGCTGTCTAAAACAAAAAGAGAAGATAATAGGCACTTTGCACTGTTCCTGACAACTTCTCTTCTTTCCTGCACTCCTAAAACCTCTGATTTGTGCCCTCTGCTTTCTTGTTGCCATGGAGAAGGTCCAATACATAACCCGCTCTGCTCTGCGGAGAGCCTCAACTATTGAGGTCAACCCACAAGCACGCCAAAGGCTCCAAGAGCTCTTTGTGAATTTCTGCCTGATTTTAATTTGTCTCTTGCTGATCTGTATCATTGTGATGCTCCTCTGAAGTTCCAGCACTTCTCTGCACTGTCCTCTAGGAAAGTCACCCCAGAGGGAAGAGAGACCTACACCCGCAACTCCCAATGCAAGGATCCTCTTGTGAGAGGGGCTAGCACTTGGACTAGAGCTGTATGCCAACCATCGCACTATTCTCTTACTACCTGCTACATATATTAAAACCACACTTCTGTGCAGAACAGTGTTTAGAGCCTGTTGTTACAAAGCTGTGCATGACCTAATTTGTCTGTCTCAGTCAAGAGATGTCTTTTCTGAATGGGGTAAAGTACTGCCTCTTCATGGAGTTGGTAAGTTCCTCAATGTTTTAGCTAGATCACACAAACAGCAGCTTCACTTTTGGAGGGCCTGAGTGTTTTTAAATTTCTCTGAAAATCCTGAAGCCCTTGGAGGGGTTCTAAATTTGGCCCATGTCCACCCAGAGAACAGCTACAGGCACACAGCCCTCAACACATCCTAGGAGAATTTCTGCTCTGCTTACTTCAAGGTGCTGCATCTCTGCATTACCAACTGAAGGCTTTCAAATTGTTTCAATGTTTTTAAGGGCATATGAGAATAAACAAAAAATGTCTTCTAACCCAGAAATAAAAACTATTTCATATGCTTTTCTCCCTATTTAAGGGATTTTATAT